CTCAAATTCACCCAATTCACTCAAATTCACTCAAATTCACTCAAATTCACTCAAATTCACCCACTTCACTCAAATTCACTCAAATTCACTCAAATACACTCAAGCGGATGTATGGGGGACAAGTCCCACTTACGCCAATTCTTCATTTCTGAACATTGATCTTTGGAATCTGCAGTCCGAAATTGAGGATTAGGCTAACTGGGACTCGGCCCCGGGACAGAGAAAGTGTTGGATTGAAAGACTTCACACTGTCAGTACCTGAACTAGTCCGATTTCTTCAAGGCTCAAGCATGCCTATGTCATACTGCAGACTCTATTTTTTTATTTTTTTTTTGGCGAACAAGAGAAATCATTACAAGCTGGGAACCGGGCCCAGCGTCCCTCACATAATTGGCTACGGCCTAAGGGGATGAGCCAGGCTCTCAGGCCAGGCTAAACCCCAACGGCAGCAGAGGACCCAAGGAATGTCCTATCCAAAAAAAGGCCAGCATAAAAGAAAATAAATTTAAAAAAAAACAAACCTATCTACACTAATCGAGGGCAACATGCAACACCGGCATATACTCAAGAGGGAATTACGGGCTCTCACAGATTGTTGGGAAAAAAAAGAAAAAAAAAAAGACGACAAAGAAGAAGAAGAAGAAGAGGGAGTTACGGAGCCCTATACACATAATGCAGACTTTCCAAGGACCCAGACTACTGTTTAAGTTTTATTATTATTCTTTTTTTTTTTAATAAAAAAAAAACATTCCTTTTGTGCTGGAAACCGGGTCCAGACGCATTGATATCTCGGCCATGCGGGCTGGGCGAGGCACTTCCGGCCAAGTCCATCCCAACCGAAGTCAGAAAAGTCCCATTGTGAAGGGTCCAACAAGGGAAAGCAGAGGGAATCTAACAAAATATAGCAACATATAATGCAATCTAACAAGGGAGGTATATGCATTCCCACATAATATATGCATCACCACATAATATTATTATGTTCATTCTCAATTACATCCCAGTAGTCCCAGCAAATTCTAACAAAATCTTACAAAATGTAGCACTTCATGTATTCTTTCACAATTACTTCCCAGTAGTTCCAGCGCCGCTCAAAATTACGCATCAAGGTACTAAACAGAAAAGTGAGCCGATGGTGGAATTTTTATTACTATTAATTTATTATTATTATTATTTTTTTTTTGTGAGTCTGTGTGAAAAGCCCTTCTGTAAGGCCTCTATGCCAGCGGGCGTAGGAGAGCCGCTGGAATTGAGGCCTTTGCTGCCGGGCTGCTCCATCTATTGGTGGGAAGCGGCACCTGCTGGAAAGCGGGTCCAGCGTCCTTGGATACAACGGCGGAATTTTGTTTTTGGTTCAGGTTTCCCACATATGGACCGCAGGTGGAAAAGTGTCCCGAAACGGAAAACAAGCCACCGACGAAGTTTATCGACGGCGGCTGGATCCCGCTCGGATCCCACTTGGCTTCCTCGTAACCCGGCGTGGAATTGATTCTCAAGCGGGGTAAGGTACTGGTGGTATAAACCACCAGTACCCTTCCCAGCCATTTTGCTGAGACATGCCGGGTAACACAGAGGCCGAATTCGGCAGGTGGGGGGGGCCAGATGCGCCCACAAAGCTTGGCGTGCACGGCCCGCAGCCAACATATTATTGAAAAGCGGGCATGGGACAATTTGTTTCATACTAGCTCTTCGGATGCCCTGTCCCAAGTCTCCGAGATTTTAGGAGAGGCTCAATAGGATTCTTGGCCCAGGGACGTTTGGAGACAGTAAGGGGACTCAGGAGTCAGGACAGGTACCCCTTGAGGGCAGGCTTGTTTTTCTTGTTCAGGGCTTGTCTTAGGGCGTACTCACGCTAGGGCCATTCACACGAGGGGCGGAATGTAGCAAACGTGGTAGCAAACGAGGTAGCAAATGTCAGCGGCCTGGCGAGCCGTGGGAAAGGACGTTTTTGTACCCCTTTTTTTCAGTTTGGCATTTCATGAGAGGAAATTTGGGCGCGTCTATCGACTGATCCAAGCCGGAGGAAAAATAAGACTCGAAGGATTTGGGCCTCGCGCAGTGTGACAACGCGAAGCACCATGTCAGCAACTGGCAGGAGGCACCTTGTCAGCAATTGGCAATAGGCACCAAGTCAGGAATCGGCAGCAAGTCCCGGTCGTGTGACCGGGCGGGGTAGTAGTACTTCACCAAAAGTGGGATTGCAAATTTTGCAGATTTTGCTGCTATGCCACCGCTTTGTGAGTACGCCCTTAGTGCCAGCCCACAGCATGGGGCCTTCTTCTTTTCTACGGGCCCTGAAGATGGCCTTTCCCTAGGCTCCAAAATTTTAGGAGGGGCTCAATAGGGTTCTCAACTTGGCTGGGGCCATGTTCTGGTCACTCGGCCGAGATTTTTGCGAACGTTTTTGGGACGCCACGCGCGTTGAAGCCCAGGGTGTTGTAGAGGCCAAGGACCATACCCGCGGTGATTGCTGGCAATGGCAGCCAATGGTTGCCCTGACAGGGTAGGTCAGCTACCCCACCCATCCCCACATTAACACTCTCAGTGCACCCCCTGTCCCTACTATCCTACCTCAGTGTGACCAGCACTCAGGACCATCACCCTACCAGTATCGAGGGCAACGTGGACCAGAGAGCAGTGACAAGCACCAAGGCTGGGCCACCCCCCCAGGGCCCCAGCCCTCGTGGCCGCGGAAGCGGAAGGGGACGAAGTCCGACGAACCTTGCCGTACGGGAACTTCGGACGCCAGGCTCATGCAATCTTTTTTTTTTTTTAATATAAAAGCTATATTCTTCTCTCAATTTCACCTCACACTACCTACCCGACGATTGCGTTTTTTTGTTTTTTTTTGAAAAAGGCCCGACGATTCTTTTTTTTTTTTTTTTTTTTTTTTTTAAAACGACCCCGTCAGTGTTAGTGCTGCTGATAGGAGCAGACACCACTAACACCTAGGGAGAGGAAAAAGGCCCGACGATTCTAATTAGCTTGCTCTCGCAAGTACAGCTGTATGCCCGCTCTCTTGGAACACTCTCTGAATCTTCAGCCCGCAGTTCGCTGAGTCTTCGGCCTGCTCTCATGGACTCGTCACACAGATGATTGCTTGCAGCTCACCTCGAGCGCATCGGCGGCGCCGCGGAGAAGGGAGCAGCTGCCTTTGCAATGGTAATCCTAGCCGTTGATTCAGCCGCTGGCCCGCTGCCTTGGCAGATGGCGGTCATGGTCGTTCACGCCGCTGGGTAATAGTGGGGTACAGCCACTCGACGCGGACGGATGGGAGAAGGAGGGACAAGGTGCCCATGGGCTCTGTGCCGAGCTCCTGTGGGACGATCCGGAGCGTCCAGTTCGCTCTCTCCCAGAGATCGAGGTCGCTGCCCAGCGCCTCTGCGATGGGGAACTGGACGGTCCGCGTCACGCGAGTCCGGGATCCCGACGCCGGGAAGGAGTACAACGACGACAGGTAATGCGGCCTGCTGATCGTTTCCTCACCGTTCCAATACGTGCAGGTGATGTACACGTGGAAGAGGAAAGGCGATTGACAGGAGAGATGGAAGGAGTCCAGGCTGACGACCAGTGTCCCGTAGGCTGCGGCGTGCTCAGACGTCGCACTGCAAGCGTGCGCAGGTGTGCGAGTAGTTGTTGTGCTATCACCTCTGTATCCCCCTTGCGGGCTCTCGCTGTCGAAGGGTTCCGTTCTCTGTCTGTTGCCTCGTCCTAAGGCCAAGAGCGGGCAGTCGACGATATTGCCGCTCGAACGCACAGCAGTGGCAGCGCGCAGGAGCGTCGGCCACGTGGAGGCTCGAGAGGAGATCTCCCACAGAGATGCAATATTCCTTCGGCGCTCCGCGTATCGGCGGATCATCTGCTCCCTCGAGGGCAGCCAGTCGTTCTCCACGTCCTCGTACGTGTACCGCAGGTTCTGCTCCGTTTCCAGCACGTCTTTGACCGAGATCGATGTGAGGACGGCGTTCTCGTCGTAGAAGACAAATCTCGAGCACCGCCACGTATGATCAGGAGGATTACATCTCCTCGTAGTCGTAGCTGTGGGTAGGCGCAGCCATACCCACCACAGCCTGTCGACGTTGGCATGATGGGCGAAGAAGACGGGGTCGGCCGCCGCCCAGCTGAGGTTGCCCATGTTGTGGAACGGCGGAGTCTGCCTCCCCACTGCCGCGTGGATTGCATTATGACTTCCGGTCTCGATCAGTCCGCCCTGCTCACTCCCCAAGGGCCTGCCTAAAAATAGCTCGTGCGTGTCGGCGTCCACAATCGTTGTTCTAAGCATCTCCCTCCTCGTCGCATTGCTCACCAGCGCTCTCAAATTCCAATCGTTGTCGTTTCTGTTTCGATCGAACAGAGGCGAGGACGGTCTCCGGAACGCCGCTGGGAACTCTCTGCCCGACCTGCTGTCCCAGCTCCAGAAGACCAAGCGGAAGTCCGGATCGCCCACCATAGCCGCGAGGATGCGCTCGTGGAAGTAGAGGTACATTCTGTGCCAAGGCAAGAAGAACCAGTTGTTGTGCACGTCATACTCGCGCCCGTACGCCAGGCCACCGGAGCAATACACGCAGTGCACCAGTCGCTGCTGTTCCATGCCACGCGGGTCCTCCGGATCGTTATGCTGAAGCTCTCTCATCTTTCGATACGCCATGGCCAGCTTCTTGACGTACTCACTGCTCTGCAGAGCCGTCTTCGCTGACAGACGCTCCCGCACGGGGATGGACGCGTTGCGCTCGAACTTCACGGCCTCCGTTCCATCGTCGGGCACCTGAAGACAGCACGGACTGCCCTTCAGGCATTGCCTCAGGTCGGGACCCGGAAGTGGCACCCGCTGACTCAGCACGTGCAGGTGCGCGCTGTGGAGAGGCAGAAGCAGATTCACAGCAATCCCCCAAACCAGCAGCCCGGAGATCATCGTCCCCAGCTTCAAGATCATGGCAACGGCCATGATTATGATATCCTCAACCTTCACAACAACGAGTAAACGAGTTCCACGACGAGATGTCCGAAGACTTGCGGACCGGAGCTGGCAGAACTTGTCAGAAGCACTACCACTATAATTGCTCTCGCTCTCGTTGTCCCTGCAACACTTAAGAAGACGAAGAGATCAGCTACTGCATAAGTGTGTGGCACGATTACCGAGGAAGGCCTCTCTGCTCTGCTGTCGTTCCTATCAGTCCTCGAACCACTTCTTCTTCTCTTAGTAGAGAAAAAGAACTCAGCTCAGTAGAGAAAAAAAACCACTCATGCAACGTACGTCAGCCAAGTGAAGATCACTGGAAGTATGTGAAGCAACACACGCCGAGAGAGAGGGGATAAGAGAGAAAAGCAAAGACAAAGACAAGATGACCCCCCCGAGCGCATCAGCTCGCATGGTAAAATGATATAAGCTCAGTGAAAAACGAAAATTACTGTAGGCGTTTGACCGCCATAGACGTAGAGCAAAAAGAGCAAAAAGCTGACGATTACAGGGACGGCAGTAATGAGACCAGAAGGAAGGGAAAGTCACGACAGTCTAGCAGACAGATCGAATCAAGGACTCCATAAAGAGCTTAGAGATAACGTCTATCAATCCCCGGACTGCAGCACTAGCTTAGAGATCGAAAGGCACATGCAGCTATTCGTCGACGTATGACGGACGGAGTATTAACGAGTACTTGGCAGTTGGGCTCGGTATAGCACACAGCTGATGATCGAAAGTATTGAAGCCGACGACTCGACAGCGTAACCCAGATTGATGCATGGATCTGTAATTTCGTCGAACTGGTTGGATGGTTTTGGTGAGGTGTGTGATCTTAGTGATGTACTCTTTGTCGTTTCCATGTACTATGGGAACGGGCGAATTTGCTCTCTGTTAGATTGGGAATGAGGACGTGTGGCGTACTGAATACGGAAAGTGTGTGAAGACGACGTCGGATTGGTTAGTATGCGGACGGAACCCCTCGACGGGCTCGATGCTGTACATCATCCGAGGCATAAGCGTTCGACCTCAAGATCGCTCGACTCTATAACATAACGCAGACGAGAAGTGTCCGCCCAGTGCAAGGTATTAGCACGCACAGCCAAGCTACGATGAGATGACTACGATCAAAGGCTTAACGGCACAACTTCAGCTACAGAGAGAGATTCGTTGCGAAAGGTCGGCTATGGTGGTGGAAGACGGCTGTGGTTGTGTGAACGACGGCTATGGGGAATCTGCGGTAGCCATTCAAATAGAACACCAAGGGATCAGGTCTACAATTGACTGAGGTATAGGTACTACACTCCGGCAGGCATGCCCTCGATGCATGCCGGCCACCTCCGCGCTCCTCTTGCTGGACCCTCTTTCTACCTTCACGTTCGGCCGCTCTTTCAGGACCTCGGACTGAGCCTTGGCCAAGTAGGTTGTGCATGATTCATAGACTGTCGCAGGATGAGCGAAGACGACAATCCGGCCAAGCAGAAATCAGAAGTACAAAAATAATAATAGTAATAATGATTAAAAGAAAAAAACAATTCAGAAGTACGGCATGGTTTCCAGCCGGTGTCGCTCCCCACCGATGGTGGGAGCAGACTGACAGCCAAGACCTCAATTTCGGTGGTTATCTCATCACCACAGGCCCACCGGGATAGTGGGCTTGCAAATGTCGTCACCCACAACAAAAGGTTAAAAACCCCAAAAAGGGAAAAATAGCGGGCAGTCAAGGTTTTCAGTTCTAAATGCGTTTCAGTCAGTGACACGGTTTCGGGAATTTTGCTCCAGAGAGAGGAAAATCGTGAATGTATCCAACCCAGTTTTAGGGTTGGGTGGGGATGTGTTGTATTCGAGGGATGCCTGAAGTGGATTTAGAACTGAAAAGGTGACTGGGCCGGAGAACTATGCCAGCCAAGAAAGACCTCAATTCCGGTGGTTCTCTCACCACCACAGGCCCACCGGGATAGTGGGCTTGCAAATGCCTTCTCCCGGTTCACCCACAACAAAAAGTTAAGCCCCCCCAAAAAACAAGGGAAAACTAGAGGGCAGTCAAAGGGTTTCAGTTTTAAATGGGCGCTTTACAGTGAGGAATATCATGAATGTATCCACCAGAGCTTTAGGGTTGGGTGAGGATGTGTTGTATTCGAGGGATGCCTGAAGTGGATTTAGAACTGAAAAGGTGACCGCGCCTTGGAAGTAACGCCACCTCAACACGTGCCTGCCTTGTTGCCCTTTTTTTTCATCCTTTTTTTATCTCCAGAGAAAATGAAATTATATTACACGCAGGGAATCGGGCCTCGGGTCCCTCACAAAAGATTGCCGGCCTCGCCTAGAAACAACGCATCAGCCAAGTTTAAAGGAGAGGGTCCCCTCTGTCCAAAAGTTCGGCTTTTGTCCTCTGCTCTTGCAGAGCCAAGCAGAGCCGGTCTGTACTGAGTAATCAGCCAAAAGTAATGGGGGTATGAATGTCCGACTTGGTGTTGAAGACCAGGAAAGAGTCCCTGGTCTCTGGATTAAGATGAATCCGAATGGAATTATCGGGGGTACGAATGATTGAAATTGGGGCAAGGTGTCAGGGAGGGTTCCTGGCCTCTGACCAAGAAGGGTCTGAATGATGGTTTTTTGTTTTTGTTTTTTCGTCTTTGTTTTCTGTTTTTTTTTTTTTTTTTTTTGAAATTGTAAATGATTTTTTTGGGTACGTGGAAAAAGAGCGACGGGAGATCTCGAACGGTGGACCTTTCACTGATAGGGGTTTTGTACGGTCGTGAATGAAAGTTTGTGTGTCGAGGCTTGATCATTAGGTCGGATGGTTACTTGTAGGAATTCAGGTAGCTATTTTCGGAGAGCACCGTAGGACGGTAGCTAGTACTTGACTCTTTTTGATGACATAGCTTGTCCTTCACAACTCGCGACATTGACCCCTGATGAAGACCGGTTGGCGACCGGTCGAAATGCGGCGTATCGGGTCGCGCCATACCAGTGTTGGGTTGACGTCTTTCTGTACGAGCACACTGGTGAGGACGGGTGGTGTTTTCCTGTTGTATCAATTTACTCGTCGGTCACGTTCGAAAGAATGAGTTGTGTCGTCTGTACTTCTCTCTCTCTCTCTCTCTCTCTCTCTCTCTCTCTCTCTCTCTCTCTCTCTCTCTCTCTCTCTCTCCTTTCCCTCTATATTTCCCTCCTGTCGGTTACTATGGTATGTCTCTCTTGGTGATGTCTGGATATTGTCGTGATGTGAGTAAGGCTTGACTGGCTTTTAACTCGATTTATACAATTGGAGTATGTTCATATCACTACCATTCTTGCTCAAGACTACTCAATGTTCATATCACTATCATTCTTGCTCAAGACTACTCAATCGAAATGACGGATCCAAGGTCTTGCTAATTGCTCGGTGGCAACGAGGGCGAAAGTAACTACAGTACTTGCGCTACCTACACCACCACTAAACACAGGGTATGCCTGTTCATACATATCCGTCGATAGGATACAGTGATTATGGTTCGCGTACCGAATTCAGGAAGGCAAATCAGCAAATGCAAGATAAGTGTACAACTTACATCGATAAAGCTGAGGGGAGGGATGTGAAAGAAACAATGAGGTTGAAAAAAGAAGAAAAGGAGAGAAAGATCAAGGAGGAAGAAAGAAGTCGGGAGGAACTTGAGAGGGAGAAACTGAAGGCGAAGATGAGTATTATGCAGAAGCAGTCACAAAGATTGAAGGAGGAGGTTCTATTATTATTGAGACACCAGACTGTAGTACGCGGTGTCGATCCAGAGTAAAAATCGCAGAAACTCCGGAAGAATCAAGGTTAAGAAGAGAAGTACAACAGATGAAGGACCTTGAGTATTGTCGGGTACAGGAGGTTGAGGCGCTTAAGGAGAGGAGGGTTGTTGTAGAAGCATGAAGAATGAAAGTTGAGATGGAAGTTGTCAAACTGAAGGAAGAGGTGACATAACTACCAAGAAAAGGCAAAGAGGGAAATATTACATCGATAAATCTACGGAAGAAAATGAATGAGGTTTCAACAAGTGCTATGAAGAGGAGGGGAAGACCAAGGATGACACCTGGCAGATAAAACGAAGAAAGATGAGCTGCTAACGAGAGGTTATCTTCTTGCAAGATGAGCGAAAAAAAATGCAAATGCTGAAGAAATAAGGATTTGAACCACTCTGCAAATTGACGAGTATTCGTTACAAAACTATCAATATCACAATAGAAGAAATCGCGCAGATCAGAACGAATTTATGGTTTGGGAAGATCAAGAAAATAGTAGAGATATTGAAAAACAAACCTCAAACAACAAAGACAATGGAGAAAGACAAAGGTAAGGTTGTTGGAACTTTAAATGGAAATAGGACATCTGAATCACCACAAGGTGTTTACCTAGATGTGGCAGAGTTATGGAAGAGTGTCTTACAATGTAGGTGTTCTTTGCGTTATTCCTTCTGCGTTGGGTCAGGTGGTGATCGAGAGGAATGTGCGTTGTGAAAAACTATCGTGTCTTTTAAATTGTGTGGAGAAATTTCATTGGTGTCTAAGTTGAGGGATTATTTTGAGTTTGTAAGGAGAAATGTAATTGAACACATATAACTGTGTAATTGCTATGAGTAGGAGCCCACATATAAGATGAAGAAAACATATCTACGTAGCTGCTACGAGTAGGAGCCCACATATAAGACGAAGAAAACATGTTCATCATGCCAATAGTCAGAATATGATTTAGTGGGTAGGCGAAATCACAAGTTAATAAGTTATATATTAATTGGTTGTAAAGATTTGGGGTTAGACAGTTTGTGGCTTTACCTCCTCTTTTTTGCTCAAATGAACACCTGTTTGATGCGAAAAAAAATATTATGCAATTTGTAAGCTCATATCTCAATAGTAGGGATAGACCACGAAAGAAGCGGAGAAGAAGACCGGGAAGGAGAGAGAGGTATCGTATGTGGAAAAACAATGAGAGAGGTCGGAAAGAGAAAGGGAGAGGAAGTACGTATCTGGAGTGTACGATTGAGAATGAATCGACGACAATAAACCTGATAAAGATATTGGATCGTTGCAGGGAAGGAAAAATGACGTTGCGATTTGTTGTATTGGTGGTGATTTTTTGGTTAACCAATGAAAGGTTGTTACGTGATGTTATGGAATATCGATGGTCATTGACGAAATTCGGTAGGGAACGTTTGAAGAAGGTTCGAGGAATCGAGAGTGGTTGAAGGATGACGTTGTCTTGAATTTTGAATCTATTATTTTATTATGCTCTTCTTTGGTGAATTTTACACCTCTTTTAACGGGCCTTCTTAGTGATTTCGTTGACCAAGAAGCAGTTGGGGGAAAAAAGTCTCGATGAATTAGTGTTAATGTTCAGTGTTGTCTATTTTGTTTTTGCAAAGAGGACTCGATATTCTCTTTGTTTGATCTTATCGGGATGTATTTCAAAAAGGTTCGGGGCTACGTAGCACCGTGTTCGCGTTCGGAGGCGAACGCGAACATGTTCACCCGAACGCGAACAAGCGCCAAAAACCCTCCGAATGTGAACATAAAAA